ACGCATGGGAGATTGTACCCCAATTGGCGACTACCAATAGCTTCGTCGTTCAAGTACCTGGAGCACCGATTCAATGACTTCCTACTGAACTATGCTCGAGAGACCATCAAGGCTCGAGAAAAAGGTCAAACGAGAGTCCATCCGTGCCCGAATGAAAGCACGTTACTTCCTATGTTAGCCTCCATGTCGACAATAAGTGCTGTACAATGTCCTATCGCTATTACCACGGAGAGAACGGCGTCAGTTCCTGGTTTCGCTCCAGACTTCGAGATTATGAAACCCGCTCTCTCAAATACAGTTTCAACGAACAGGCAGAGTCCGTCCGTGAATATTAAGCTATCTAGTACCTGTTCTCTTGTTCTCAGTGACCCATTCGCTGGAAATATCAACCTATTCAATTCGCCTACGCTCTTTTTCGCTGACCGCTTGCATATATACTTCGAGACAAAGGAGAGTTCGGCGTTTGAATACGCATCTCAGTTTCCTGTGTACTCCATTGAACAAATCACTGTCGATCAGGCGACCAGGCTATCTAATGAATCTCTTATGGTAAACGTGATGGAACTACAGGGGGAGATGACATATCCACTACCAGTGGACGGGACGATCTATCTCACAGCTCACGATACCACAGTAAAGATTGTTTGCAAGCAATGAAATTCAATAGCATTCGGGACACACTGCTGGTAAATAGACAAGTGCGCTGGTACCATGTTCTAAATACTAATGAATGCTGACTGCAAAATGTTGTGGTAATGAGCTAAATTATCAGCACGGCAAAAGATTTGCACGCGCTTACAAATGAACGCGGTCATTCGTCAACCAAAACCGCCGTTCATATTATTCTAGCAGACCGCCCATTAATGGTGACTGTTGTTCATTTAGTCCACTACCTTAAACATACTGTAGATAACAGGAGCTACTCAAGCTCCCGGGGAAAACTACATCGGAAGTCAAAACCAAGGAAGCGCTTCCAGGACTCTATGAAAAATCTTATGTCACGGAGGCTTCTACAGTAGGCAGACACAGCTCGCCAGATTGGCTAAAGAGCAGATAAACGAGATATTGCTATGTGCCGAAGGTCCTCTCGTCCAGGTAGAGCCTTGCATTTTCCACTACCTTATACAGGGGTTTTATAAATGTCTGTGACAACGCCAAATTGGACGCAAGGGGCCCAGGATAGGAGCGTTGCCTGTCTCGTGTCGAGTCTTCCTGTTAAGACGACTGTACCACTACTCGTAACTGTGAGCGTTGGGATTATATATATTCCGGTGGTGGAGGGTGCACAGTGCTTCGGAATTAACGAGGGCATCTCGATTTTTGTCGCTGCCAAGAACGAGCTACAAGGAAGACATACAGACTTAGAATAACTAAGCTCCTGATGCAACACGATTAGACGGTTCCTTGAACGTCAGTCCCAATATGCCTGCTGCTATCGGATAAACTAAAGCTGCAACGTTCCGCAAGCCCAGTCTCAGTTCCTCTAAAATGTCCAAGTGTACAAGACTTAAATTTTCAGTCTATACACCCAAGTAGTTCCATCTCGCGACCATCTAGTTACTAGTGCGACTTGAGCCTCAAAACTATTAGAGCTCAAATACTGACAACGCAAGGCAGACGAGGCAGACCATGAGCTTGAAGATACCCTACAGAAACCTGGTTGTATGATGCTTCCAGTTGTGGCTATATGCAGATGCCAAGATGTCGAGTATTTCAGGTGAAGGGGTATAATCCAATAAATTCTGTTTTTGTTCAGCTGAGGGGGGTCAGTGCAGTGGTCGCGCGACTTGGGTGATTCTCACCCTGATTCTCACCCTGATTCTCATCCTGTTTATAGCGCACTCACCCTTGTCACCCCCGGTCGCGCGACCATATGGCGGCTCTCACCCTAAACTCACCCAGGCGGCACCCACCCGACTACTGACCGCACATAAGCCCTATTCTGGAAGGTTAGTAGTTGAATGACTCGTTGGCTCGGCTCACCTTCTCCCTAACTCCTTGCTGACATACGCGGGACCTCTCCTAAAACCATTTTTTTAGAACGAGAGGGGAAAAAGGAGTGTCGCCCGTCCACTCATTGGCCCCTTTTCTTCTAAGGCTGTGCTATCCTAGTGTTTAGTGCATCCCAGCCTGGAATTAGCGATGACAAAGCCGAAACTTGTGGCTTTAGGCATGAAGACGGGCCTATGGTGGTTATCTACCCGGATCTTCCGCGAGAGCTTGACGACTATATCACAAATTCGCTACTATGTATGATTGGAAAGTGGGAAGGACATCGGGCATGGACAGGACCGCCAGATAACTTTTAGCTTAGTGACGGCGGAAGAAGATACTGTATAATGACGGCGGATGCTTTCGATTGTGACAGTGTCCATTGACATATGCATTTATCATTTCTTTCTGCCCCTCCAACTTTGCGGGCGGCTTCTTTTGGCCCTTTGGTGCCTTAGTTTGGTAGAATAGTGAACCTGCAGTGCAGACAACTTGCGGCTAGGAAAATGGTCCGCGATTTCCTTCCATGTTAACCTCCCTTCCTCTTTCAACTTTACCAGCAAGTTATTCTCGTCAGTTGAATAGGGCTGGCATTTACTTTTCCCGCGAGTTGAACGGTCTATGCTCAGTGACCGCTTCAAAACCCTACCTGCTTTCTCGGAGTTATGGGGAGGACTGTGCGCGGCAACATATGATGTCGAGCAGACGTTGTCGGGCACAAGAGTGAAGAAGAAAGTGGGCTCCGATCCCTGGGTCTCAATAGTGAGAATTGCCCGCCCAACAATATCGCGGCTCTCGCAGCAATGCCTGGACGATGAACCAAAGGACATGTGATTTGGATAGCAGGAAGCGGTCGTACTTAGAGAACCGTTTTTCTCCTCCACGGAGTCCTCAACGTGTGGGAGTTCTGATTGGATCGTATCGGTCATGAAGTCTTCGTCTAAGGAATCATCGACGTCCTCTCTTTCGCTCTCAGATGCATCTAACACAACAGGTTTTGGCCTTGACCGTAGACTCCGTACAGGTCTTGGCCGTGGCGGAGGAATAACCACTGCGACAGACGGGTAGCGCTCGTTGTAAGTACTTTCTCGTTTTCTGGTCGAAGGTATTGGACGTTCTTGGTTTTTGCATTTTCTCGGATTAGCCAGACTTGGGCTCTTGTCTCCTCGAACACTAGGTGTTCTCGAACGAGAATTGAAAGACTCGCGCCCGTAGGCTTGTTCTAGATCCATCAAATCGGGCATATTAACGTGCAGCGGATCGGCCGACCCAGAAGGGCCTGATTCAGCCACGGTTCTAGGGGGATAATCTGAAATCAATCTGGTTTGGCTTGTTTCTGCATAGTCATCCGAATGGTCGTCGGGATAATCCTCCGGTGAAGGAATGCAAGAGCCTATGTCGTTTCGATTGTTGGAGACAACATCCGAGCAGGATAAGATGGAAGAGAGCGGAGTGTTAGAAGAGTAGTCGCTGAATGCAGTAGACATACCGGACATATCCGAAGCATGAACTAGACTTGAGGATTCAAAGTACGCGGGGTATGAAAGTTGATCTCGTGTCCACTAAACATCTTCCGTCACGTCCGATTGCATAACCCCGGAATGCGTTTCTGCAGCACCTAGTGAAAGAACCGCGATAGAAGGGGACCGAGGAGGCTGAAGAGGAGTTGTGCAACTGGATTGGGTTCTCGGGAAGACGTCGGAACCGTCTAACTCGGCACTTTTGCTTGAATTTGCACCGAACGAGGACGGGGCTGTGTTCCAATATCGATTAATAACTTGGAAAGTAGGCCAGCTCAGATCTTAAACTTACAGTCGGCAGGCATCTTTTCGTCCGAGTTATCTCGGTAGTCATAGTCAAGCCTCTGTAGCGAGGGGCAGGCATCTCTGTCGCTAGCTTCAAGTGTACCTAACAATGGCGTTAACGCCCCCCAGGACCTCGCCAGTTCGAGGTCAAACAAGTTAGGTGACCCAACTGCATGCTGATTCTTGTATCTTCTGCATTACCAGCCGGAGGGAGGAAGCAAGGCGGGACCATTGTCGAGTAGTCGTCTGTTGCCGAAGAGACCGGTTCATTGGAGAATAAAGGTTGCTCGCCTGATAGCAAGGTATTAGAGCCTTTCTGGTTGCTATTAAAGGCAAAATAGGGCGGTTTTGCAGGCTTCGATGGGCCATAGTAAAAGTGTATATTATCAAGGATAACAGGCATGGTCTCAGATCCTGAGGGAAAGACGTAAAGATAAACAAAGCGAAAAGAGGAAATCTGGTCTAATGAGACTGCCAGACTGACCTAGGACACGGTGGAAAGGGCTTGTTTTTATATTAGATCAAATGAGCCCGGAAAAAAGAGAAGCCCTCCAGGGACGCTACCCGAACAGGAATCAGATGCAGGTTAGTGGACAGCATCGGCCACCCCTAGGCCGCTCGGTACATGTTACTTGTTCCTTCTCACAGCAGCTCGGGGGCTTCCGGGGCTGGCTTCCAATCATTGCTAGAAAGCGTGCGTCTCTTGCATACACGATGCGCAACGAGGCAGGCTTTTGGCTTGGCCTATATGTCCACTACCTTGACTAGTCTGCAAAGATGCCACTTGACTGCTCAGTGCCCGCATAGCCCTTACCAAGCCACGCAACCCTCCGGAAGTCTGGCAGGGCAGAAGGGGCTTCCTCTCTCAGCTCCGCCTCAGATGCAACATCGGAAGACTGTGCTCCAAGGTTCGGCGCGTAACAGAATTGCCTGCCGCCCTTCACAATCAGCCAACAGGCTCTTGCCGTCAAGGACAAAGGATGCACTGCCCATGCCAGACCCGCCTAGATGCAGGAATCACATCGGGATGACCGGAAGAGGAAAGAGATACACATAAACCTGCCGCTTTGACTAAGGCGCCGCTGTGTGCCTTGACCCCCATCACGTTGGCTAACTTCCGGCCATTCCTCATCTAACACCCACGTGGGGCATACAGGACTCGTATCCAGGTCCAATAGCAAAAACAGCGCATGCTTCAAGGCAAGCTAGAGATGACGAAGTGGCTTGAGGTTCACGAAAACTGTGCGGGTCCATAGTTGACAGGCCAAGAAGTGATACTTGTTCGGACGCTAGGGCGAGCGGAGTGCCACGTCATCTGAATCACTCTGTTCCATATTCCGGGGCGCGTATTGACGTATTAACTCTAGAAAGCATCCGTTCTCGAGGAGACCGGGTACTAGGACAAGTTCAAGAGTGAATCGTTCGGCGATAGATATTAGAGAGACAAAACCTCACTCAAACGAGTAGAATTGAATGGGAACGCATAGACACTGATCTCGACAAAGGCACCTGGCAGGGGAACGCACGGCATCATGGAGGGGCTCCATTGGATGGTGCGAGTGGAGGCCGGATATAATGTTGCCAGAAAATCCCTCAGGTTGGCCAGGTCTGGCAATCAGCCCGGGATCGTCGATCCAACCGGACGCATGTGGGAAGTGTTGGAAGGGGGGAGGAAAGGACAAAAGAGGAAGAGGATGGATGGCGACGATGGAGCGACGCACCTGGGATTTATACATTCGGGCGGCCGAGTCGCGAGGCGGTGAAGCGATAAGCGTGCCTGTTGCGGATTAGCGTGACGGCTAAACCGTGTTGGGCCCGCGCTAAACCGTGGCGGGGGGCAGTGGGGGCGGGCGCTAAACCGGGGTTGGGGAGCTGCCGTTTCCGGCGGCGGCGGCCCAAATGGAAAAATTACTTAGAAAATAAATCTTTTACGGCCTTTAATTTTAGTCTATAGTAGTTCACTATATAGTAAGCGTATAATAATATATAAACTTATAAGGCCTATCTTAGGATTATCTAAATAAGTCTAATAGATATAGAACTTATAATTCATCAATTTAACTATCCGTAAACTAACGCTTCTCCGCTATTCTAATCTAATAAATTTTTTATAACTTTATGTCTCCTATAGAATTAAGCTAGTTTTAGCGAAATAGTAAGCGGTTACTACGTACACCCGCGATTCTATACTAGCCCCTATTTATATAAATATAACTAGGCGTAATCGACTAATAGTATAAGGATATCTACCTATAGTAAGGCATCCTTTATTAAGTCTAGTAGTGAATAAGGATAGTTCAATACGGGTGTGTTTATTACGATAGTTAGCTATATAGTGAAAACCCTTTCTATAACTAGTATAGAATCTCCTTAGAAGCTAGTCTATTATACTATACTCTTTTAGCTTCTATATAAAAGATACTCTATTCGTAATCTAGACTTACCCTTCGCTTACTAGTTCTCTACTCTCTAAATACTAACGAGCTTTCGAATCCCTACATCTTAATAGAATAGGTTCCTCCTATTTCTCCCTCCCCGTCGGGACGAGCTAATAAAAGAAAGCGCGAATATTAAGATTAGTTTAATAGCCTAACTAGTATCCTAGGAAGCCCTAAAGAGGTAATAGATTTCACTTTGCCCTTTTATAGCTAGCTCTAACTAACTATTAATATAGATAATTCCGACCGGCGTAGCCTATTCCCTAACTAGCGATATAGTATAGATCCTTTAAAACCCTTATTCTTTAGTATCCTCTACCGTTAACCTCCTAGACCTATATCTATATCTATAGGAGTGCTACACGATTAAGTTAGCCGGCAAAATATACTTAGAAGAGGAATGTCGCTACCTACAAAACTCACAAAAATAGCTAGCGGAGGAGGACAAAAAGCTTTAACAATACTATAATTATTAAGAACTACTACTATAGGACCGTCGTTAGGCCTTTCTCTCTATACACTAGGGCGTTCTCGGAACACTATAGAAAAGTGACAGACACTTATATCAGATAAGTGAGCTAGAATGAGTTTATGTAGGGGCAAATTGTGACACGCTAGGTTTAGTTGACCAAGGCTCGGGGTGTAATAGCAAATAGCACTGTGTGACCGGTCTTATGGTTCTTGCGTTGAAATTTCAAGATTGTGTAATAGGCTCGCATGTTTGTTTTGAGCTTGGTCCTCTAACTGATCACATAAGAGATATGAGGCAACAGGTTGCCGTGCTATTTGAATACCAAGATAGCCAGATTACGTGGAATCTTTCCTGCATTGCCTCATCTGTTAACGCTGCCATTGTGCACCGCTAAAACCATCTATTGCTGTTGCTGCATGGTGCTCTTTGGCTGATCACCCGTTAGCCTCACGACGCTGATTTCGGGAATGTCGGTGCGATCATCGATCATCACACGCTACTTACTACTTTAGCCTACAATTTTGTTCCTAATTTTATCAAGTTTCAAGCATACTATTAGAGCATTTGACAGATGATTTAGCCGGGCCGTCTGAATAGCAGGCGAACCATTGCATAACTTTTCTTCTGACAATTCATCAGTGGCATCAAGCAATCATCGGCTGGCTCGAGGCACTTGAGGCATATGCTGCAGTAGAGGCTACATACGATCGGTCTCTGCCTTTATAATTCATCATCAACTGGACAATTCTTATATCCCCCAAACGGACCGCCTCTTCCAGTGGTGTCCATCCATTATCCGTCCTTGCATCAGAATTAGCACCCACGTCGAGTAGTCGCTGAACAATATCCATGCTGCCTCCTTTAGCTGCTTCATGCAGCGGTGTCCATCCATTGTTCATCTTCGCACTTATATCAGCACCATTATCCAGTAAATACTGTATAACTTCCGTGCTTCTTCCTTTAACTGCTTCATGTAATGGTGTCCACCTATTATCAAAGTTTGCATTGACATCGGCATTTTTGTTCATTAGCAGTTGAACAATATCCGTATCCCTTTTCTTCACTGCTTCATGTAAAGGTGTCCAACCATTATCTGTTTTTGCATTTCTCTTGGCATCATTATCCAGCAGTTGCTGAACAATGTCCATGTTTCCCTCCTTGGCTGCCTCATGTAGTGGCGTCCAACCATTATCCGTACTTGCATTTTTATTGGCATCATTTTCTAGCAGTTGCTGAACAATGTCCATGCTGCCCTCTTTGGCTGCTTCATGCAATGGCGTCCATCCATTATCCATCCTTGCATCAGGATTAGCACCCACGTCGAGTAGTCGCTGAACAATATCCATGCTGCCTCCTTTAGCTGCTTCATGCAGCGGTGTCCATCCATTGTTCATCTTCGCACTTATATCAGCACCATTATCCAGTAAATACTGTATAACTTCCGTGCTTCTTCCTTTAACTGCTTCATGTAATAGTGTCCATCTGTTATCAAAGTTTGCATTGACATCGGCATTTTTGTTCATTAGCAGTTGAACAATATCCATATCCCTTTTCTTCACTGCTTCATGGAGAGGTGTCCATCCAATATATGCCCTATCATTCATCCTTGCATCAACAATGGCATTATTATCCAGCAGTTGCTGAACAATGTCCATCCTCCCTCCCTTAGCTGCTTCATGCAATGGCGTCCATCCGTTATTCATCTTGGCATTGATACTCGTACCAGAATCCAGCAAATCTTGTATTATTTCATTGTTTTTCCCCTTAACCGCCGCATGAAACACCGCCCACCCATTTTCCATCTTCGTCTTGGCATTTGCTCCAGACATCAGCAGCCGATGCACATCAGCGGAGTCCGCTTTGTTGACCGCAGTGAAAAGCTGCATTGCTCTTTGAGCGTCTTCAATAATCGGCGTGACTGAGCGCAGGTGTGTCATATTTGTTGCATCGTCAAGAACAGTTTGTTGCTCACTGGGGGACGAGCCATGATTATCACAAGTTGTTCTTTCGTGCAACGTTTTGCGCAATTCCGAAAGAGGCTCCAGAATTTGTCGAAGATAACCAGCCATATCCGAATAACTTTGGCCATAGGCCAAGCTCTTTAGTGGCCTGTAGTCTGAGGTGTCCCCTGCTCTGACCAATGTGCAGTGTCTCTGAGGAATATTCTTCTGATATTCCTTAAGCCAGTTTAGAAGAGGCCCAAAATTTGGATCGTCAAGTCCACCCCCGCAGCCGACGAAGAGAACCGTGTCGAACATCAAGAACTTTTCAAGCATATACTTCACTTCAGAATTCACAACCCGAACGTAGTCAGTGGCGTTCAAAACGACGTCCTGTGGCCGCTCATAGCTTCCATGTAAATGAAAGACGCCGTCTAACTCGCCACTCTTGAATTTTTTGATATCATCCGGATTGTCAGAGGGAGAGATCGATCGAAGCTTGCAATAATCATCCAAAATATGGTCGTAATTGGTGGTAACAAGTGTAGCCCCTTCTTTATGCGCGTCTCTCAGCACATCTAATATCGCAGGCTGATTGATTTCCAAGCCCGAGAAAGTCTTCTTCAGCCATGAAGGTAACTCGCCATATTCAGCCATCAGACCTGTCATAATATTTATCGCATCCATTGAACTGCCAGCGGAGTCGCTTTCCAGTAAAGTATTTGCGCTTCCGAGTCTGAGATTGTTTGGGCCAATAACTGCCATGCCGGATAAATGGCTAAGCCCATCTCTAATCAATCCATTCCAAGTCAATTTATTCAAGTGTTCCCCGGATTTTTGTTGGGTGGCATTGAGTGTGACCCCTGCACCTGTGACAATAACGAGTTTATGTTTTAAGAGTGCGTCGGTTATGGGCTGAATGCTCCCAACCTCCGTCCTCTCACTGATACTTTCTCGAGCCGCCATTTCGTGGGTCTCTGTTGTGTTGATTGTATTGCTTGATAGTCCTGGTTACTTCGCCTAAGATTATTCCACATCTTGTGCTGTAGGGATCCCTCTCTTTATGAAAGAATTTCACCCTATCAGAGAAATAAATGATGCCATAATGAAGTCAACTTCTTCGATAGGATAGGATTAAGTTTTCGCTTTCTTTCGAATAAGGATCAGTGGCATGGTTAGTTCTCTGCCGATACTACGTCATAAGTACATATTCTGGATCTCCGAGTTAACATATACTTTTGAAGGATTGTTTCCGGCGGTGGGGTGACTAACATATTTTTTACCTTTGGGACACAAACATAATGTTTGCGGTCGAACTCAGCAGACATTGAATTCACAAGTCTAGGCCATACCTATGCAAATGACCGGTGGATCTAAAAGCTTAATCATGAACGATGACATACCCTTCTCCAAAAGCGTCAGAATAGGAAACCAACTCTGTTTTTATATCTATATATATTCCCCCTGTCCTCCTTTTTTCCAGGTAAAGAATATGCCTTTATGACTTCAGTATGACATGACGAACATAACCTCAAGGCCTAGACGACAAAAGTTCTAAACCCACGCAAATGGTTCCATATCACATGATTTAAAAGAGCCTGGTCCAGCTGGATTTAAGGTTCGTGAAACGGTGTGGGCTGAGTGATCGGCTGACTTGGTCCACAGCCTGCATGGTTTATGCCACGGTGTTGAATAGATTACCCCAGTTCACGCAAGCTTTTTCGATCTCTGGTACAATAGCTTGACAAACTGCGAGGTCTAATTTGAAATTAAGTTCCGCCAAGCCCCGCTAAGCCTTCATGAGCCTGAGGCATAAAAATAGCGCTTGTATCAAGCTCGTATGATCTGTATAGAGTGTTGCCCGCAAACAAGCTAAACAGACTCGCCCGGCCAGTCTGGTTGGCAATCAGGTAAGAACTCGCTTTCCAAAATTCACCCACCCTCTCTCCTCTATAGGACCGATCGGGATGAGCGAAGTAAATAATGCAAAAATAATGTGATGAATAAATCCTTACGACTGCAGTTTGCAGCTCCTACATAATTCTGGAATTTTGATTGGGTGTCGGTGCTTGCTAGAACACTGCATTTGCAATGTATATAGCATAATCGGGGGCACTATGGCATGTCAATTGGACCAATGACATTGACGATGTTTAGCATATGTCAAAAGTAACTTAGCTAAATTATTGTTTGCCCTCATGTTAATTTAAGGTTTAGCTTCGGGAGTGGATGATTGCCGCCATTTTCGGATGAGCCACATAATGCACGCCGATCACCCGTGTCCGCAATCTTGTGCTTGAATCGTCCGTGGTTCACCCATCCGTGGTTCCTGGTCGCTTGTCAAAGTCACACTCCGCTTGCACGTAGTCAATCGGGTTCATTGCAAAATTCTTGTCGCACTGTCCATATGTTGTAATTGTTCCTTCCGCCTAGTCGTCGTTCAAGTTCCAGCCATAATGCCGGCGGATCTCGACGAACTAATTCTAGACTAAAAGGGGAGTCAACAAAGAAATTGATAACCCTATTTCAAATAATACTGACTAGCGTTGAAACTAGTGCTAGGGAAGGTCAGAAAAGTTATCATTGTCTGAACTCAGGAATTTTAGCATATATAAACCGCGCTCTATCACAATGGCAGTGAACTTGTTACATTCGATGTAGCATTTATTTCATGTCACGGGTTCCCAATCGAAATGAACCAAATGAGGAGTATGGTGCGAGAGTCGATGGTGTCATTCAAATTGAGGTGGCGTGGGCGGGTGAGGAGAGCTTTGCCCGGAATAGGATATCATATCATCATAAAATTTGGCGGCAAAGATTCTAGATGATTTCGTCGACTGAATAGAGTACTCTGCGTAAAACTCGTACTATTTTGCTAGTCTGTATATTAGCCGTTAGGTGGAACCGGACTCCTGCATTTGTTCAACAACAGTCAGTTAAAGTACCATCTTGGTCTACTCGTGTAATAACAGTTCCACTATTGCCCGACGCTTTGTTCACGTCCTACCCACGAGCTCTCAGCTACCATACGTCTCTTCCCGTGCTGATCCTTAGGCATGACGCCCATCGTCGTCTCTCCAACACGGGCAGTACCAAATATGACGCCCGACTACGAGGTCAGGCTCCTACTCAACCCGACAGCGGTCTTCAGCTCTGAATTCGAGCTAAAGGACACCGTCTTTTCGGCTTTTAATATGACCCCGACCATCACCAAGCTAAATGTCCAGTTCCTCGACACGTACTCCAAGGAAATCTATACAGCCGGCTGGAGCGCCCGAATACGTAAGACCGAAAACGAGGACGACTTTGAGCTGACGTATAAGAAGCGGTATGCCATCACGGGTGGCGACATTGATGCCGCTCTTACTACGGCTAATACTGATGGTTTCGGCGACGGCGACACGAAATATAAGGCGCAAGTCGAATGGGGATACCAGAAGCAGACACTATCTATCAGCCGCAAGAAAACCATAGCAGATCCTGGGAATAGCGGCACGGACTTGCCGGATAAAAGCAACTCGTGTAAAATGCTGATCGACGAAGCGCCCGACAAGTTCGACAACTGGTCTCACAACAAATGGGGCACTAGTGCGTTAGCGATGTCACGCATTTTTGGCCCAGTCCTCGTCAGGCGCTCCATTGGCACGTGGAATGGGATGCCGCTACATCTCGAGGTCTGGCCCCTCCTCAATCCCGGGGGTACGGGTATTGAGTACATCGTCGAGGCTTCTTTCAAGACGAAGGACCGCACGACAGCCTCGGTTGAGCGCAGCAACCTAGTCGCCTGTTTGCAGAGCAAGGATTGGCTTCTCGAACAGGACTCGCTAAAGACGCAGCTTGTTATGGAGCGCTACTGATGTGGAAAAGTTGTTGGACCCGGGTGATTCTTAGTCTGGCTTCCGCTGTGAAAGGAAAAATGGATTATTGGTTGTATATTAGTTACTTTAACCAAGGCCAGTTATGGTGGGCGGAAGGGAAAACTGTTATGGGACGCTGGCCCAGTGCCGATAAACCGCCTATCTGATGGCATGCAGGTATTCGAGGTAGGCCCCTCTCGTTCAGGGTCTTTGTTCGCTATCGTGAAAATTGCGCTGAGACTGTGTTTTCTTATTAGTATATTCACTCCTTTACAAGTTTCAGAACCTTTGGTCACTTTGTAGCAAGCAAGCTACAAAAGGTTCTTTCTCGAGCACACAAAAGTAACTGCAAGTGATTCAGAGGTCCCCGATTGTACGCTCGTGTGTACATTTTCTTGAATTCCCTGGCGTAGTCTCTTCCAGAAGTTTACAGTCTGTCTACCTATTCCTTATCCATTCTTCCAATGTTTGCAAATAGGACAATGAAGTGCCAAGTGGCGGCAAACCTGTCCCATGAGGGTTCCTGCAGTCTACTAGACTGAAATTAGGAGCTTATGCGGATTGGAGAGGAGCATACTTTTAACTACTGCTAGCAGCCGGTTTAATTTGGCACATATTTACCCAATCTCCTAAGTAGTTGCTTTGTAAAGTAATCGAGCATTCTCCAAAAAGCAACGCTGTAAGACGCTAAACAACCCCTGAAAAATGGTCTTCTGGACGAGGGACTACAGATAGTTTCTTCAGTCAATCAATCGCTACGATTCAATTGGCCCTCTAGTAAGTCAATACCGAAATCCTTCTGTCGGACAAAAGATGAAACGGTCAAACCTAGGCTCATCGAGACGGTCTAGACTTCTTCCATTTGAAATTAATGCACTGTATGACAGGATAAAGTCTTCGCCACTATCAGTGGCTTGAGCTGGCGGAAGCAAGATTTCGCTAATGGCTGTACATAAAATATCTAGACGAAATAAATATATTCGTTGCAAGTCGCTTCTTTGCGTCGTTTCACCCAAACGCCGATGTCACGAACCTACTTTCACGCCGTGCTTGACAAAGAAACATAGGTCTTGATCCTTATAAATCTGTATGAGGTCGAGACAATTTTCTAGGGTTATATCGCATGCTTTGTTAATGTTCTCCCTAAATGTCTCGTTACCCACCCGTGATTGCTACTATTCGGTATATTCCTCCACAGCGATATCTAGTAGGCTATTAACTATGATTGATTTAGTATAGCTAGGCCTAGTGGGTATACCGTTATTAGTAGGAGTATATATCGATTGTTAAGATGATCCTGCCGGGAGGACATTGATATAGATTAGAGGATATATTAAACCTATTCTAGAGTTATCCGCGGCTTTCTTTTGTTTGTCTAGTGGCTAGTTCCCCTCGGTATAGAGCTGCTCGCGAACACTATTAGGGACGTTATCGTGGGTCTCGAGAACTCTACCTTGCTCTATATATTTAACGAGTGCCTTTAGATAGTATATCTTTAATCTATAATGCCTTTTTCCCTCTAGATCTTGCTAGCAATATTGTCTTTCGTGGCGACATAGAGGCCCGGGACATCGTATAGCACGATATATATCGCGCTAGACGGAATACTAGCTAGAGATCTACTCGGTATCAATCCGAGCGTCTCGGTCTACGAGTATACGTGTTGTCACCGATAGCTTTCCTCTCTTCTCGGTTCTAGAAGGAAGAGGCCCACTATCCTCTATATAGTTAATCGATATCTAAAGCTATATCTTCTTACCACGACAGAATAGATAGGCCCACGCTAGTAGCTGTTTCTTCACCGCTATCTAATCAACACTAGTACCTTCAAAGTGTTTATTAATATCCCGTTAGGAGTTCACCGATAATACTATATCAGTATCATCTAGTCTTACCCGTCGGCCACGCGCTATCTTCCGTCGTAGAATATTACTAGAGTCCTCCTTTATCTATTCCCATTAGGATCTAGGTAGTTGAGTCAGGTCTTATTTTGTATCCTTGACCACAACTCGATTGTTCAATTTGACCCTCCACTCGATCTAGTAGTGGATACGGTCTAGAGATTGTTTATCCTATACACTTCCACCTATACGTTTAACTAGAGCATCAAAACCAAGCTAGTCAGACGGATATTAATACAAGGGAGGTGAATATTTGCTAACTATGTCCTTAGGGTTAGGTGAAGAACAGATTACTAATAGCGTCTATTCGCGGTCTAGGTAACCAGGGGTGGGGGCATACGAGGGAGTCCGTTCCTATAGATCAGGCAATTCAGGTCGGTAAGTAACATCGTTGATAGGAGTGTAAGTCATCCCCTTAAGGTAGAAGATGCCACTAAGGAGTCTATTAACATAGTCGTGTGTTAGCTTCTATCAAGGGTGTTACAGAGTGTCAAGTATAGAGAGCTGTGGCTAACAGGCTGAGTATTATGATAAACAGGTTCATAGATAGTCTACAGGTAAGCAAGTAATGCAAGTCACTATTTGCAATTTTTGGTGACGAGTAAGCCCCCTAGACTGTCACTTAGACATAGGAGTGGCAAGAGGGAATTAACGACTCGCAGATTCTCAAGGCACTCGCTAGCTCTGATGTTTGACTTATTTGCATTACTATGGAAGATCCTAGTTCCTTTAGATCGCCAATACAGTTACGAGACAAATCTTCGTATTTTAATGAGAGTAAGTCATGGTATTGAGACTGATACAGGAATATTAATATTCCGGGGTTGTTCCTAATATAGACTAGTGTCTCTTGGCGGTGGGGCCAGAGAATCACTTGATGAGTGTAAGAGGTTGCACCAATTTCGGGACGTACTGTAACATTTTGTATCTTTTTTGCCCCCAGTGAGCTCGCACTGGGCAGCAGCCCTCGCCAGATTGTTAGGGCAATGGATTCATACCTTCTCGTGGTGTCCGGTGTTAATCCCCGTTGGGGAGACCAAAGTGAATCCGCCGTGGTTGTGCGGTCCGGCCCGGCGCGGTTAGCGCGGGGCACGACCGCACAACCACACCAAAATCAGGGGATAACGGCATATAAAAACTATCCGACTCCTTCTTACCCGCCTCGCACTCGGGCCCGATACTAGTCTTGCATTACTAGTGGAAGTGGTGTCGCCTAAGGAGAAGATAGGACACCCCTAAGCTTGCATACGGTCTAGGATCGCATCGTGCGAGATGTGGCGAGGTGGTAGTGAACCGGTGACATAGGCAGTCAAGCTGATATCGGATAGACCTCGTTCAAGGCCTAGAGGCCTCGTTAAGACCCGGACTCGTTAAGGCTCGGAGATATCGCTCCTTAGAGACCTCGTTAAGGCTTAGCCACGGGCACCCTCTTGGGAGACACACGGGCAATCTAGAAAATATTGGTATTTGACTAGTGGCAGTCGGCGGGAATCGTTAAGGCTTTGCCACGGGCAACCCGTTAATCCTATTTAGACATTGGGGACTAAGCTTGGTTAGTGGAGAGCAACCGACATATACTACCGGATGGAGCGTATGGAGGACTTTCTATAAGACACGGTCGGCCTAGCGGAGGGAGACCTCCTTAGGTAACGCGAAACGAGAGTGAAAGCTCTCGCGGGGCGTGGTGTACAATAGCAGCCACTGCGGTAGGGTCGGGGCCTATCAAGAGACTGTCTGTATAGCCCGAGAGGACGGATGCGCGTGTCGGTGTACAAAAAGCCGGGAGTCAACTACCCCACTCGCACTAGGGGCCTGATATCGACCTTGGTCGGTTGAAGCGGTGTCGTCCTAGTTAGCTTGCCTATGATGTATGCTTAAGGAGCAAAGTGAGAGACACCTAGGGTGAGAGGTGTGGTGAACCTCAAAAGACCAGAATCCTCATTTATCGGGTGAAAAACTAGGGTAGTGGTCTATGCAAGTAGACCTGTCGAAGCTACTTAATGTCTTTTGGGCCTCGGGACGCCATGGTCGCCTTGTCCATGGTCACCTTGGCGCCGCAGCTATAGGATTCAACAATAGCTCACCGGAAACAACCGAAAGCCTACAAATCCAGGTTGGCCCGATAGACCGATGGTCAGTACACGCTGCCGAACTGCTTGGGGTCCTATACGCGATCACCCTCGTCAACAAGATCGCCCTCCAACGTCGAAAATCAACGGACACGCGGGTCAAATCCGCGACCATCCTTAGCGATAGTATATCAGCATTACAAGCAATCCAGAAACTAGGGGAACAAGTCTAGACAACAGATTATCCACACTATCCTACGAACAGCCACGAACACCAAGACGCACGGCATCGCGGTTCGTTTATAGTGGGTGCCCGGATATTGCGATAAATCCGGGAACGAGGCAGCAGACCGGTTAGCTAAGGGGCCGGCCATACCAGGCCAAACCCACCCGTTTTCCCTATTACTGTCGCGCGAGAGAGCCCACACCAGAAAGGGCATCTACGCCCAATAGGAGAGGGAATAGAAAGAATCCCGGAATAGCAGCCACCTTCGCAAGGTCGACAATGCACTACCGGCTAAATACACGAGACGGCTCTATAGAAACTTACCTCGAAACCGAGCGTACCTTCTAACACAGTTGCGGACGGGACATTGCTAGTTATCAACATACGCTAAGATATTTCGTTTTCGTGATAACGACCAGTGTGTCTACGGCGAGCGGGAAAGTGTGACCCACGTCCTCCTAGACTGCCCCGAGCTAAGATATCTACGCCGAGAACTCCGGGAGAAGGTTGGGGGCGCATTCAATAGCATATCAACCCTCCTAGGAGGACCTCGAGAAAACAACACTACTCCGCGAGCCAGGACGGTGGAGGCTGTCTTAGACTTTGCAGAAGCATCACAACGGTTCCAAAGCCGCGCGCCATAAGGGCAGCAATCCAAAAAAAAAAACGGCTACGAGGCCACGGCAGACCCAACGAGGCTCTAAGTTCGTTTAAGAAGTGACCCACGACACATGTACGTACATTGATATATAGTTGTGGTAGGCTGCATATCGCTCTGCGAGGGGTCAGCGTAAATGAAACCATCCATCCATCCATCCGACTGTACCAAGATGATGCATTCACTGCGGTTCTAAACCAAAGTTGCGTGATGAATGCCTTCCTTTTTGCAGAGAACGAATGCAAAATTAGTATTCATACAGATCTAGAACATCTCAAGGCTTTAGTCTAACTCAAAAACAACCAGGTGCATTGATCATACGCACAATGATATCATATGCTTAATAGAATGGTGATCAAATAATCCGTCTAGCCTCTATTCGACATACAATCACCCAGATCCTTGTGTACTGTTGATTGACCAATCAACACTAAAGTCTCTTTCTAGCTATCCTTATTCCCTAGAGTTGACTAAAATTGGTGATCCACAACGCTTGGCAAACATAATGGCTTAAGGTCTAGCTTAGCTACGCTGGACCAACCATAATCTGTTCAATGCCCTATCATTCCACGGCTACCATATTTTGGTACCGCCTTTCTACTGGCTGTGAAGATCTTGCCATCATAGTTCAGATGCTAAATATTCAGGAGGTTTAGGAGTTAATTTAAGATTTAGCGTCAGAAGCGGATGACACACTGCCATTTTCGGGCACGCCACATGACGGATGTCGATCATCCGAGTCCCGCAACCTTCTGCTAAATTCGTCCGTGGTTCGGCCATCCGCGGTTCCTCACTGTCAAAGTCACACTCCACTTACATATAACCAATCGGTCTCAACTGGGTACGAGCTTAAAGTCAATCTATACTGATGGACAGCAGATACCCAGAAAAAGTGTAATCGGGCCTTTGGGACGTCAAAGTCTATTCTTTTTTCCACATCCACATGACGCCCATGAAAGTTACCAAATGATCTGTGTAGGGCATATGGATTGAATTGCCTTTAAGTCCTTTCTACATTTTGAACAGCCCAGACGATGCGGAAACCTCATCGCTACTGTTGCTTGACGTAATGTTTAATAATTGTTCCACCGGTTGCTGCCACACACCTACCGTCACCAGCAGTCGAAAATTATACTGTCACATATTTGCGACGGGTGCAGACAAACTCAATTCAACGGATGGGCGGATGATGACCCTAAAGCTAATCTAGAGCTCCGTGCCAGCAGATGACACAGAAAAGTTTTAATCGCCTAGGGAACGTCAAAGTCTATTCGCATCCACCAGACGTTATTAGAGATAAGTAAAGAGTCTCTTACGGCAATGTGGATTAAACTCCATTTATTACTTTCTGTGTTTTAGAACAACCAAGAGGAAAATCGGATTGCTAGAATGATTGACAGCAGCGTTGGAATTGTTCTCATCCGGCCTCTACCGATCCGGATATGAGGTGTGAATCATTGATAACACAACTACTCTGTTATTTTTTGCTTCGTATATATCATGCCCTTCGCGGAGAAAGTGGAGCGTTGGACTGTAGTCGGGTCCTAACGAACCATATGTCGGCTCTTAGATCCGCTTTGTGAGATCATCTGAGCAGCTTGGCACTGCCTTAGGAAACTTCAATTGGCAACTGCCGGTCTTGCCTAGCCTGTCATGGATTTCTTCGATCTATTGTTGGAGTCATCTATGGTACCAAAAACGGCATGATCATATGTCTACAGAGTCTAGATCATGGCAGTTTTCTCTATTTCCGTCATCATTATGCAGTACGCTACGTAACTACGAATCTGTGATCATAGATGCCTTTAATGGATATACCAACACTAGGATAACCAACAACCATACTATGGTATGCAACTCTCAGTGACACAAAGTATAATTCGGACAGTGTTTGATGTAAGGTTCAATATTGTTACATTCGAAAAGGATGCGCCGCCTATAAATACGCCTGATGTGATGCATCAACGTTGAGCATTCTATCCTATTTACTCTAACGTACCTAGGTTGTCTATAGCGTTACTATACTTGATCCCCACTGACAATTTAGGATCTAGTGCACCATCTTGACAGGTCCCCATGATGAGTACTCAACAGAAAGTCGTGCCCGGCCATTGGGTTGTCAGTGTCAAGACCTATCTGACCCCTGAATTGATGCAAACCGAGCATCTCTCCGCGCTAGAGGACATGACGGTCGATCCTAGTACTACCTTTAACATGGAGGTCCTCCACAAGTTCAACCTTCCCGAAATGAAGGGCTACTCAGCTAAGTTCGATGACGCAACCAAAGCTGAGTTAGAGAAGATGCCTTATGTAAGATGACAAACAAGCCGCAATCTACTTTTCTGATTAACTATTTAGCCAGTAAATGTTACTAACACTTACACTCTGCACTTCAGGTCCTTGACATCGAGCCAGAGCAGCTCTACGGCCACTGCGCAGTCCAGGCTAATGCACCCTGGGGCCTAGGCCGTATTTCAACGCGTGCCGGACTCGGCGCTGAACCCTATAGTTACAAGTACAGAGATGACGCGGCCGGCTCTGACACATTTGTGTATGTCATCGACACGGGCATTAACGATCAACACGTGGAGTTTGAGAGGCGCGCCAGTAAGGGACCTAAGTTCGTGTCTGACGGTACTTCGACCGACGAGGACATTTCTGGTCACGGCACCCATTGTGCGGGCACGATTGCTAGTCGGGCATATGGCGTGGCCAAGAAGGCGAATGTCATAGGCGTCAAGGTGTTCAGCGACGCAACAGGGTTCGCACAGACCAGCGACATCATCCAGGCTCTGGACTGGATTGTCAGCGATGTCTATGAGCGGGGCATTAAAGGTCGTGCTGTGGTTAATATGAGTCTCGGAGGCGGGCCAAGCGCAGCTCTGGATGGTGCTGTTGCGTCAACTGTCCGTCACGGCATTGTGGTCTGCGTCGCTGCCGGAAACAATGGACAGGTACGCTCGGACATATGACTATCGAGTAATTGACTAAATTGATTTGATGCTAAACCAATAACAGGGTCCGGCTGAGAATAATTCCCCTGCTCGTGAGCCGGCTGCGATCACTGTTGGGGCAACAGATGTTGGTGACAAATTTGCGTCGTTCTCCAGCTTCGGAAAAGGTACGTAGTTGATGAATTCTTAGGTATTGAGTGTTCTTAAAGCTTGATCGCTAACAGGGTGATATAGTCGTCGACATTCTTGCCCCTGGTGTCAATATTCTCTCATGTTGGAAAGGCAGCCCAAAAGAATCCAAGATAATAAGCGGCACGTCTATGGGTAAATACATGACTAAGCTTGAAAATAGTCTTATAGAGCTAACCTTCTCTCAAGCAACACCCCACGTATCTGGCGTTGCCAGCTGTCTCCTTAGTGATGCCTCTTGGACTCAGCGCGACCCTTCTGAGGTAATGCCAAGGATTCTTATTCTCGCTGAAAAGAACAAGGTCGGTGGAATTACCAAAGAGAGGACAATTGATGCATTGCTGCAAAATACCACTACTCCCACTGATTAGTAGATGTCGGGCGAATACTCATGTTCAAGTTGTCTTGTTAAGGGATTCGAGGTTGTTAACAGGGTTGATATTGTTGTTTCCCATTTTTGTGTTTTGTTTTCTTCCTTTAGTCTTTAACTTAGTTTAATAGTACTTAATGATTTTGACTCATTGCGCATAATTGGCCACGTGAAGTATTATTATTAGCATAGAATTCTGAAAAGCTGCTGGATACATTGGTTGTCGGTTAGTACGCTTGATTCCGGGTGTATACTGACATAATTAAAAAAGGTCAATCGCTTTCCAGAATCTGCTGTTTGGGCTCTCTGCAACGAACTCACGACGATAGAACCGCCAAAGCCACGAGGAGAGCCGCGACTAAACTATCGGTAACTCCATAATATTTTCCGACGGAAAAGACCATGTCACTGAAATGCTTGATACTGTTTACAGGGCTTAGAGCATATCCTGAGACCATGGGAGCCATACAAGCCACATCGACGCAAGTCACTGGGGGGAAAATATCCTCCCAATATTTGGCAGGCAGGAAATTCACACTCGGCTAGACTTCGTCCATAGCCATCTGGAAGCATACGGCACCGTTAGATATCTAATGAAAGGAGATTACAGAACGAGACAGAGCTATGTTTCATCATGGTTCCTCAGCACGACGCGGTTGTCACTGTTGAAATCAGCTAGGCCATGATGTCAGATCTTGCTGCTCTAGACGCACCTGTCAATCATACGATGTCAAATAAGAGAAAACCATAAAATCTGTCAAACCTAGGCTCATCGAAACGATCTATACTTTCATTTCTGAAATGATGCACAATATTACATATATAACGGTGTATTCTGACTACAACAACCCAAATTAAGCAGTTAGTTTTAGATCTATCAAACTCTACTTGGTTCTTACCGTTGAATTTAGACGGCAAGAACTGGCGCCTTCAATCTGATGTGTCCATAACATAACTTATCACTTATCTAATATGTGGTCCTGATCAAGGAGGGTCATGCTCCTGCTCACAAAGCATGGTCTTGGTTGCTTTTCTTTTCTCCTAAACCTCAGGGATTCCTGAGTATTATGTGTTGCACGTGAATTTCAGAAGTGGGAGTCGCGAGCATACGGATAAGTCGTCGAAGTACGCCGCTGTTAGGTGATTTATCAACGACGCTAGGAAGGAGAGACTTGTTGTAGATCTTCCTTCCATCTCTGAGCAACATAACGCCAAAATTTCCTCTTTCTCTCTCTCTGTCTAGACTTAAAATAATCCACCATGTGATATTGATTCACTAATTTACGAATGGCTTAAGCCACTGGATATATAATGCATCTATGCTTAATATTCATAACAATCTAGAAGCCTAAGAGACTATACAGGCTTATTACAGAAGCATTTTTTATTTGTTATTTACAGGTGTACTGGATTACTGCCAAGAGAAGGGGTCAGGGGTAGAATAACCGTAATAGATTTAGCGTGTTTCGAAAGAGGGTTCGAGAATGAATCTCTGTATGTAAGTGGTGAAACTGATTTCGATAAATCCTGTATATTGGGAATGAAGAGAAAGCGCAGGCCTTCCTGGACTCCTTCTTCCTGAAATGAATACGCCCTGCGACAGTCTACCAACCTCAACACCACTGGAGCTCCCGTGGCAACCCATCACTGAGCTAGAGATCCAACGATCTCTCAAAGCCGCTAAAGGAACCACCGCACCGGGAGATGATAATCTGCCGATGCTCGTGTGGAAACAACTATGGGTATACCTAAAGGGCATCATCACCAACATTTTCAACACATCTATGACTCTAGGCTACCATCCGAAGCAATGGCGGAACGCGAAGATCGTGGTACTGAGGAAGCCCGGAAAGCTAGATTATTCAGTCCCCGGGGCCTACCGCCCGATCTCACTCCTCAACACGCTAGGCAAGCTTCTCGAGGCAGTAGCAGCCCGTCGACTTTCATATCTCACAGAAAACATGGCCTCCTACCAGACACCCAATTCGGTGGGCGCCCGGGAAGAACTACTGAACAAGCTTTGCTGGTACTCTTGAACGCGATCGACCGGGCGTGGTACAAAAACAAAGTGGTTACTCTCGTTTCATCCGATCTAAAAGGAGCTTTTAACGGGGTCAACCAAACGAGGTTAGATGCTTGCCTGCGAGCTAGGAGGATTCCCGCAGTCGCAAGAAAATGGATCGCAAGTTTTATGAATGACCGCTATGCTAGCATAGGATTCGACGACTTCCGCATAGAGTTAGCTCGACTAGCGAACGCTGGACTCGCACAAGGATCACCTCTCTCCCCGATCCTGTTCACATTTTTCAACTCCGATCTAGTGGACCAACCTGTCACCTTTCACGGTGGCTCATCAGCCTTTATCGACGACTACTTTCGCTGGCGAGTAGGCCGCTCGGCAGAGAAGAACCTAGCCAAGATACAGTCCTAAGATATCCCCCGCATCGAAGCGTGGGCGCGGCGAACTAGGTCCTGCTTCGCAGCCGAGAATACCGAACTCATTCACCTCACCCGAAAAAGAGGAGAACACTTGCAGGGCAATCTTGACGTGAATGGTACGACTGTCACGCCATCGCCCATGGCTAAGCTCCTAGGCGTGATCTTCGACTAGGAGCTGAGATGGAAGGAGCATGTGCAACAAGCTATCAAACGCGCAACCAAAGTCACTATTGCCTTGAATGGACTGCGACACCTTCGCCCAGAACAGATGCGACAACTCTACCAGGCATGTGTTACACCAGTAGTAGACTATGCGTCAACGGTCTGGCACGACCCACTGTGAGACAAGACACACCTGCGACAGCTGAACACCATATAAAGGGCCTCGCTGATCCGGATCCTGTCAGCATTTAGAATAGTGGCCACGACAACCTTGGAAGTGGAAGCACACGTTCTCCCTACCCACCTGCGTCTCCGCCACCGAGCCTAGAGGACCATCGCTAGCCTCCACACTCTACCACGGGATCACCCTATCTAGAGTGCACTCTCACGGGCCTAGAAACGTAGGAATAATGTCGGCTCGTACGCTCGCTTCCCGCTCGCGGAAGCGATAAAAACCATGAATATCGATAGGCTAAACGAATTGGAAATCATCGATCCACGACCACTACCGCCGTGGCGTCTCGATTCCTTCGCTAAGATTGAGATCGGGTCTAATCGCGAGACAGCGGCATAGAAGGCCGAGACCACTCGCTTAACATCCGACGTTGTTGTCTACTCTGACGCCTCTAGTCGATAGGACCACATAGGCACCGCCGCTGTAGCACTCGATAACAGCCAAGAGATAGTCGAGGCGCAGTAGGTCTAAGTAGGACCGATAAGCCGCTAGTCTATCTACGTAGCGGAGCTCATAGGCATCTTCTACGCGATCAGTGTAGTATTTTGTTAGGACCCTGCGAGGTCCTAGTGTAGCAGTATGAGTACGGGAAGTAGAGACTATCGTCGAAGTGTATATGTAGGTGTAATAAGAGACTAATTGCTGGTCCTTCATACGAAGGCTAGCGAGTGCAATAAATATAAGGTGCGCTTAGCTAAGGGACTAAGCGAAATACACGACCTTTATAGTCTATATATACGTATAAGCAGAGGTGACGTGTGCTTAGGGGTTATATCTTATATAATATATTATATTATATAAGCGACGGTGAGGTGAGGTAATAGTCACGATAGTTGTCGACGGTGAGGTGTAAGAAGGTTATAATAATTAGGTAAGGTAATTGATAGTATCACTTGATAGTCAAGAAAAATAAAAGTAGATGATGATTATTATTTCTTAGGACCCTTCCTCGAGGTCCTATATATAGCTAACTAGCTTACCTAATAGAACGACGTGGAATCGTGAGGTTCTATAAGGTATTTCAAATCATAGGTCATAGGATCACTAGTGTAATGATCATAGATCATAAGATCACTATGATCATTGAAGGCTATAAGGTTTAAACCATTAATAGACCTTCTAATAATAAGCATAGCTAATAACCTTTTATATTATAGGCTTTTCGGATCTAAGCCTTAGATAAGATATAGCTTAGATATACGCTTATACTAACACTGACGTAGGCTATTTCTTATAGGGATGTATAACCTATCTTAGTATCTAAGGAGGCCTTTATAGTCGACTAGCTATCCCTAGTTCCCGCGCTTTTTTAGCTTAACGTCGATGATACGACGGCGGGTCTCTAGGTCTTCGCCCTATTCTTGCCCGATCTAGGACTTTAAATTAGCCGTGGAGTTTAATTCCTAAACTAACTAACCCGTGGTCCCACGCTTAGCTTGTGAGACTCCGACGTTTCCACACCTTACCTCTAAGACTCCGATGATTCGACGCCTTGCCTCTAGGTCTTCGCCCTATATTCGCCTAATTAGGGCTTTCAATTCTGTCGTGGCGTCTAACCCGTAGACTTGTTTAACCACGTAGGCGCGATCTACCTCCCGTCGGGTGATTACGCTATTATCCCGCACGGTTTGTCCTAACATAGTGCCCTATAGGGCCGAGACTAAGTAGTAGGGACTAGCGACTTTTTCACGGGATGTACGACGGCGGTACGCTAGATAGCGTAGAGGTACTCGACGGTATAGAGAAGCTCGACGGCGATTCTCTCCCTTAACAAACGCTCGACGGCGTATAAGCACTCGACGGTGTAGAGATACTCGACGGCTATCTCTTTTCTTACTAAGCTCCGGCGTCCCGGGCTTATTTAACTTAGCTTTAGGCATATCCTAGCTAGCACTCATAATTTTAGGTATATCCTAACTAGCTTTGGTTATAGGTATATCCTAACCGGTATTCGTTTCTTTGATAGCGGTTCGCTATATACGCGCTTCCGAATCGCTAGCGAAACGCTCCTAGATCGGGGTTCTGAGATAGTTATAGGTATATCCTAACCAAAATTAGGTTTTCTAGACAAGCTATCTATAGGGTTGGTTTTCCTAGGACGGTGTCTAATAGTGAACTTGAATAGAGTTAAAAATATAAGCCACCTTGCCTATCTACCGTTAAGCTTAGGCTGCTTTATAAACGTTTGGAGGTTAGTATAGTCTGAAAGCACTTCGACGGGATACTTACTACCCTCTAGATAGTGCCTCTATTGTTTAAACGAGTAAACGATAGCGAAAAGCTCTTAATCTAGTGTCGTATAACGGAGCTCCGCGCTAATAAATTTCTTTGACTAGTACGCTATAGGGTGCTATATCCCGCTAGTATCTAGCTACGATAGGATCCTAGCTATCCTAAGGTTTAATATATTAGGTTCGATGCGAATATATTCTTGTGGATTAAAATGTTAGAGCACTAGGGCTCCTTAGAATATATTGAGAAGCTAGTGAAACGCTTACGTTTCTTCGTCGGAGAGTAAGACATTGCTAGGCTTCTTGCTATTCTTGCTTCCTTGAAGTAGGGAGGTTAGAGGTAATATAATTAGGCTATACCCTTAGATAAACCGTCGATAAAAGTTGTAGAATCCTAGGAATACTTAGATCTTATAGTAGCTTTTTAGGATTTCCTATAAAGCGATAGTATCGACGCGTTGTTTGTCTATTAATATACTATCCCTAGATACCATGAATCCTAGGAATTTAACCTAGTCTTAGTAGAAGGTGTATTTTATAGGTTTCGCGTATAGCTATGCCTATCGTAACCTCTATAGCACTTAGTAGATATACTTTATATAGGTCTCGCGGTCCGGCGAGAAGATTAGGATATTATCGAGATACGCTATATAAACGACGTCGAGAAGCCCTCTTAACGCCGTGTAAATATAATTCTAAAAAGTGGCTAGTGTATTCGTGAGACCAAACGGTATAACTGTATATTCGAAATAGCTATAGCGAGTACGAAAGGCTATTTTCCACTCTTCTCCTTCACGGATCCTAATCTAGTAGTACGCGTCTTATATATTAATTTTGCTAAAGAACTACGCGCTAGCGAGTTAATCTAGGATCTCTAAAATAAGAGGAAGAGGGTATCGGTTCTTGACTAAGACCTTATTTAGTCCCCGATAGTCTACATAGAGACGTAGACTACTATCCTTCTTTAAAATAAATAGGATAGGGGCCCCTACTAGGCTTTTCGAGGGTCGGATCTAACTATTGTTAAGGTTTTTATCTAGGTAGGACCGAAGCTCTCGAAGCTCTATCTAAGAAAGAGGGTAAATCGGGCTATACGGCGGTGTTTCGCCGTCTTTTAGCTCGATAGTATAATCTATTACTTTCTAGGGTGGTAGAGTCTTAGCATTCTCGGGAGCGAATACGTCGCGGTATACTAGTAATTCGCTAGGCAGCCTATTACGTGAAGCGGGGTCCTCTTAGTTATCTCCGGGAAGCCACACTTCCTTAGGAAGCTTCACTACTATATATACGTACGCGTAGTTCCGGCATTCTTTCATAAATTAGTGTGGGGTAGCTATCAAGTATGACGGCGCGACGTACCACTACTAGCGTTTATATAGCGAAAAGTCGACGTATTTATCACGCACTATTATTATAGAGAGGAGAACTAGGCTTCCTTTGAGGCGAGGGTCTCGATCGATAGCTAGGCAACGCCTTTCGAAAGTGCGAGTAGTCCCTCGTGAGTCCATTGCCGTGATAGGGACTATCTATACTCTATAAGTAGGTGTTGACCGTCGATTGATAGCTAAAATAATGACGCCGGTGAGTGGTGCACGACGGAGTCCGTATTGCTAAGTAAATTAATGACTAATGATATTAACCTCGGCTCCGCTATCGAGGTCCGTATACGTTTCGATATCGCCCTAGACGGTAATTAGGATATATAGACGGCTTATAGTCCTAATCTTATCTTAAGGGGTCGGTGTTCCGGCTTCTATACCGACCCTCTAGCTTTTCCTAAGTATGCTAGTGTTAATTAGACCTTAGTCGAATTTTGGGGGCACTTATCCCTCTAGTGGTCTATTAACCCGTAGGTAAAATAGCTATATAGTTTAGGTAGAGTTATATTATCGTTTCGCTAGCGATTATACGGCTTTACGCCGAATTCACGCCGATTTAAATATAGTTTAGTATTTAGGTTTCGATCACTACCTCGTCCTTAGAAGCTTCCACGGTTCTATCCTCGGCCCCGACTAGAGTTAGAGGGTAGCCCGTTAAAGCTAGTCCGTTTTCGATATCCCTATTAGTTAGGGGAGTGATATCTTTTGTTTATTAAGCGGGGCGGGTAGTTCTTTATTCCCGACTCTATTTAAATGAGGTTCTAATAGTGCATCGCTATCGATACTATCTCGTCCCGATTTTTAGGTAAATAAAGTATAGTATTCTAGATACGCGATCGGAGGCGGAGCTATAATTCAGTGAAGAAGTTAAGCGCCCGTTAGTCCTCCGACGGTGCTTCGAAATGCCTTTCGAGCGAGACAAGATAAGAGTTAAAGTCACTTAGACTTTGGTTCGGGCCTTAACGGGCCTCTTATAAGGAGGTAGCATTATCGGCTTATAGTGTGGCCGAATTGTGTAGTAGCGTAAGTGTCTATTTCTCGAATAGTTCCTATATCGTTTTGTAAGCGGTTCGCTAGGGTTCCGCTTTCTCTTCGATATAGTGTCGCTATCTCTCGCGGTAGTTAGAGCTTATATAGTTAGTGGCACTAAGGATCTTTCTTTTATCCGATCTATACTTACGGGGTGTATCTAGGAATATATCCTAGAGGTTATTGAGCTAGGTTTAGCGTTACTATATATTATAGTGTACTTTAAAGATCGGAACCTCGATTTTGATTTCTCCGGGAGCTCGTCCTTATTTAGATAACGTAGAGGGAGAACGTCGATAGCGATCCGACGTCGATTTCTTAGTTATTTGGCCGATCGCTTCCTCGAGTTCCTTGTTTTGGGTAAGCAACGTATAAAGGGTCTCGAGGCGTTCGACCTTAGCGAGGTGCTCGCTAAACTAGGGAGTCCGGCCCTAAGAATTGTTTTCCGGGCTGCTACTTCCGTCGTAGATAGTAGCGGGAGGAATAATAGATTCGGTGTCGGTTCGATATAGGTTCGCTAGTGATTCACGAGCGACCGACGATCGGGTAATCATTGTTACTTTAGGAGGCATCTTCAATCTTAGGTAGTTAAAGAAGAAGAATTAGAATTGTAAAGAAGAGGGGTCTAGTGTTTGTAGGATAGAGCCTGTCAACTAGGTAAGATAAAGATGCCTAGGAACAAGTAGTATATTGGAGGAATACAGAGACTGATTCTTAGAGAACCTCTGGGTTCTCCTAGAGTGCACTATTTAACATGGGAGATCAGCGTTCCGGTGAGGAAGCGCTGACGTGTCGACACCTATATGATGTTGATCCTCTGACAGTGCGAGAGATCTGTGCATGATTCCTGAGGACTCTGTTACACACCCCTACTAGACGGGGGGATAATTGTAACGGAGTCCTTAGGAATCATATATAGGTCTTTTATATAGATCTCTCGTACCCCTTAAGGATCGCTAGCAACACGTTAGCGTTAGCTCACCGTAACGCTAATCCTCTATATTAAATAGTCTAGTATAGGAGAACCTAGAGGTTCTCTAAGAAACTATATTCCTCCAATATACTACTTGCTTCCTAGGCATCTTTATCTTACCTAGTTGACAGGCTCTATCCTGCAAATACTAGACCCCTGTTCTTTACAGAAATTAAGAATGGATTCTGTATTTTGGTCAAAATAGATAGAAATTAAGAATAGATTCTATATTTCGGTTAAAATAGACGGATATTAAGAATAGATTCTGTATTTCCGTCTATACTTATGAACCGTATTTCTGACCACAATACTATTACCTCTAGATATGGTAGGAAATACTAGATTAGAGATGGTATGTGAGTATAGTTGTTAGGACCCTGCGAGGTCCTAGTGTAGCAGTATGAGTACGGGAAGTAGAGACTATCGTCGAAGTGTATGTGTAGGTGTAATAAGAGACTAATTGCTGGTCCTTTATGCGAAGGCTAGCGAGTGCAATAAATATAAGGTGCGCTTAGCTAAGGGACTAAGCGAAATGCACGACCTTCATAGTCTATGTATGTGCCTATCTATTAGCGCACTGCGTAGTCTAAAGGCTCGTAGTATTCTTTTTAGGCACCCTTAGGCACCTATTGGGTCGGGGTCCTAATAATATCCCCCTCCTTTAGAGGCCACGGCCCGTGGCCTAAGGTATCTAAGATTCGTAGTGTGAATCCTCTATTTATAGTCACGTGTAAGTATGGCAGCCTAGTAAGCGTGGTCCGTTAAAACCTAGCCTAGAGTAAAAACCTTATAGAGGAAAAGCTCGTAGGTAGGAAAGGTAACTAGCCCTAGTGGTGCTAGCGTAGGGTTATAAGGTTACGTGCTCTATTATTTTAGCTGAAAAACTATCTTAGTGAGAAGTGTTTATATGGTTTGCACTCTTAATAGGAGTAGATAGCGGTGGTGGTGGTCGAGGAAGGAGTATAGAGAATAATATAGATATTATAGTCGTTTGTTATTGTTATTTTTCTTCCTTCCTACGCTTCCTAACCTCTTTAAAAGTATATGATTTCTTCCTCCCCTACTTCCCCTATGTCCTAAAGCATCCTTCCTAGTGCTCTGTGAGCTTTATAGAGATGATCCTAGACGCGTATAAGCTTCGAAATAAAGCTTTCCTAGCCTCCTAGGGATGCCTATACGTGTCCTAGGTCCTTGTTAACCCTGCCTAAGGCTTCGCTAGAGCTTCTATAATAAGCTCTACGTCCTTATTAACGTTGCCTAAGGCTTCGCTAGAGCTTCCACAATAAGCTCTATACTCCTATTAGTATTGCCTAAGGCCTCGTAGTAGCATAGATTCGCCCCCTCCTAGTGCAAAATAGCCCTATTTTGAAAACTACTAACCTCTTATATATATCGATAGTGGCGGAGCCTTATATCCTACGCTTTACCTAGGCCGCCGCGGCGGTCTAAGAAGAAGGAGATTTCCCCTTATAGGACGGTTTTAGTAGCTCTTTATCGGAAGAGGAGGTCGCGGTGCGCGCTGGTGGACCTAGGCTAGATATGGGGCTTCTATACTAGCGCTATACCTTCCGGTTAGTGTAGCACCTAGATTATTAGTGCGTGTTACTAATAGATCGCACTAAGTGCCTCTATTGTGCTAGCGGCCGCTATAGGTGTAAGCCGGTGAGTATAATTTTAATTCCCCTTATAACTAGGTATACAATTACTAACTAGCCCCTTATAGGTTTACCCTAAGCTTATGCCTAAGGTGGAGCACGCGCTCTCGCCTACTATCACTAGCGAATAGCGGGTTATTCTTCTTAAAGGTCTTCTCTAGAAGACCTAGCTTATCACCGCCGCTATAAAGCCCGCTACGACCCCTAAGGTCGCCGCTAGTGAGGAGGTTCCCTCGCCCCCGTCGTCGGTTACGTCTTCTCTTAAGAAGTTTATGACTCCTAAGGGAACTCCGGCTCCGGAGGAGTCTCTACTCCGCCGTCTATTACGTCGTAGTAGCTAAGTTTTCTCCCTATTACGCCTAGCTTCTAGCGTATAGGAGACCGTGCGCGATAGTTTAGGTTAGCCGTAGCGGGCGCCTAAGAGCTTAGTAGGAAGGAGGATAATTTACGGTTAGAGACCGGACTATTTTCCTATATATAATTCCGGGGGAATAGCCCCTATAATACTATTAAGATTTGTTTCCCGCGCGCCTCCGGCGCTTTAAAGTCCTTTTAGGTTCGCACTATAGCTTTTCTTCGTATTCCTATAGCGCCTATAATTGCTCTAGGTTCTTCTAAGGCTCCTATATTACTTCTATATTACCGTAGCCTTCCTATTTAACTCGGTATATATAAGGCTTAGTCCCCTTGTGGGAAAGGATACGCTTAACCTTATATTCGGGTTGCCTATCTATAATAATAGGTGTAGGACCCTCCTATAAAGCGTTTCTATAATACTCCTCTAGTATAGAGATATAGAATATCGGATAAATATAGCGGAGGAGCGGCGGTAGTCTCAATTTATATAACTATAAGCCGAATTTGTCGACAATAGCGAAGGGGCTAATTATCTTTATATCTAATTTCTTATTAGGGCGACCCATCTTAATATACTTAGCTCGTACGTAGACTAGGTCTCTAACCCTAAATACCTTCTTAAGGTGATTCTTATCGTAATAGCGCTTTATTACGTCTTTCGCCTTAGCTAGCTTCTTATAGAGAAAGTGTGGTATTTCCTAGATTTCCTATATCCGGCTTACTACGTCCTAGTGATACTCCTATAGAAGCTCTTCTACACTAGCTCAAAGGTCTAGCTTAAACCCGAGTAGCGTCTAGAAAGGAGAGACACTAGACGCACTATAAGGGGTCTAATTGTATACGAACTAGGCTATAGGAAGCTATCGTATCTAGTCGTCCTATTCCTAATTAACGTAGGAACGGAGGAAATACTCTAGCGTCTAATTTTGACGCTTAGTCTAACCGTCTATTTAAGGGTGGTAGGCTATAGAGAGACGTCTTCTTACTATAAGGTAGTAGCAAAAGGTAGACTAGAATTAGCTAGTAAAGAGACTGCCTTAATCACTAACGAGGTTCTTAGGCATCCCTATAATAGGGATGATACGCTTATAGAGCAATTCCGCTAAATTAGGTACGTTAATATCCTTAGTGCACGGTAGGTAAAAGGAATACTTAGTGAATATCTCTACTATCACTAGGATCGTATTATAGATCCTTCCTCTCCACAAAGAGGGTGGTAGGCTAGTAATAAAGTCTAAACTAACCTACTACGTTAGCCGTTCTAGTATAGGTAAAGGTTATAATAGCCTATATAGCTTATGCCTATGAACTAAATTCCTCTAGCAATTCTCGTAGTCTTCGACGTATTCCTTAATATATTAGGTGAGTCTAGGCTAATAGAATCGTCTCCGCACCGTATCTAGGGTACGCTTTACCCAATAATATCCTCCCTAAGGATTATTATAGTGCGTTCATATGTAACGGAGTCCTCAGGAATCATGCACAGAGTCCTCAGGAATCATGCACAGAGTCCTCAGGAATCATGCACAGAGTCCTCAGGAATCATGCACAGATCTCTCGCACTGTCAGAGGATCAACATCATACAGGTGTCGACACGTCAGCGCTTCCTCACCGCAACGCTGATCTCCCATGTTAAATAGTGCACTCCAGGAGAACCCAGAGGTTCTCCAAGGATCAGTCTCTGTATTCCTCCAATATACTACTTGCTTCCCAGGCATCTTCGTCTTACCTAGTTGACAGGCTCTATCCTGCAAATACTAGAACCCCTTTCTTTACAATTCTGATCCTTCTTCTTCAACTACCTAAGATTGAAGATGCCTCCCAAAGCAACAATGACTACCCGATCGTCGGTCGCTCGGGGATCGCCAGCGAACCCACACCGAACCGACACCGAGTCCATTGTTCCTCCCGCCACTATCTACGACGGAAGTAGCAGCCCGGAGAACAATTCTCAGGACCGGACTTCCCAACTTAGCGAGCACCTCGCTGAGGTCGAACGCCTCGAAACCCTTCATGCGTTGCTTACCCGAAAGAAGGAACTCGAGGAAGCAATCGGCCAAATAACCGAGAAATCGTTGTCGGATCGCCATCGACGCTCTTCCTCTACATCATCTGATCGAGGACGAGCTTCCGGAGAAATCAAAATCGAAGTTGCAATTTTTAAAGCACACTACAGTATACAACAACGCCAAACCTGGCTCAATGACCTCCAAGACATGTTCGCAGGCGCACCCCGCAAATATGGATCGGACGAGAGAAAGATCCTTGGTGCCACCAACTGCATGAGTTCTGACTGTCGCGAAAGATGGCGACACTATGTCGAAGAGAAGGCGGAGCCCCAGCGAACCGCTTACAAAACGACATGGGAACTATTCGAGAAATGGACTCTTACGTTACTACACAATTCGGCCACACTACAAGCCGACATCGCTACCTCTTTACAAGAGGCCCGGCAAGGTCCGAATCAAAGTCCAAGCGATTTTAATTCCTACCTCCTCTCGCTCGAAAGACATTTCGAAGCACCGTCGGAGGATCAACGGGCACTTAACTTCTTCACTAAGTTACAGCTTCGCCTCCGATCACGTATCCAGAATGCTATGCTTCATTTGCCTAAAAATCGGGACGAGATGGTATCGACAGCGATGCACTATTGGAACCTCATTCAAACGGAGTCGGGAACAAAGGACTACCCTCCCCGCTCAACAAACAAAAGACATCACTCCCCTGACCAACAGGGATATCGAAAACGGACTAACTTCAACGGGCCATCCTCCAACTTTGGTCGGGGCCGAGGATGGAACCGTGGAAGCTTCCGAGGACGAGGTGGTGACCGAAACCCAAACACTAAACCATATTCAAACCGGCGTGAATTCGGCGCAAAGCCGCATGATCGCCAGCGAAACGATAATACAACTCCACAAAAACCATACAGCTGTTTCACCTGCGGGTCAACAGACCACTGGAAGGACCAGTGCCCCCAAAATTCGACTAAGGTTCAGTCGGCACCAGCGCATTCGGGAAAAGCCAGAGGGTCGGTGTAGAAGCCGGGACACCGACCCCTCAAGATAAAATTGGGACCACAAGCCGCCTATATATCCCAATTACCGTACGGGGCGACATCGAAACGCATGCGGATCTCGATAGCGGAGCCGAGGTTGACATCGTCAGTCATCAATTTGCTCAGCAATACGGACTCCGTCGCGCACCACTCACCGGCGTCATTATCTCAGCTATCAATCGAAGGTCAACACCTACTTATGGGGTGTGGATAGTCCCTATCACGGCGACCGACTCGCGGGGGACTACTCGCACCTTCGAAAGGCGTTGTCTAGCTATCGATCGAGACCCTCGCCTCGAAGGAAGCCCGGTTCTCCTATCTATGACAACGGTGCGAGATGAACACGTCGACTTTTCGCCACATAAACGCCAGTGGTGGTATGTCGCACCGTCATACTCGATAGCCACCCCATATCAATTTGTAAAGGAATGCCGGAACCACGCGTACGTGTATGCGGTGGTAAAGCTTCCTGAGGAAGTGTGGCTTCCAGGAGACAACCAAGAATACCCCGCCTCACGTGAGGAGGGTCTCCCTAGCGAATTACTAGCGTACCGCGACGTATTCGCTCCCGAAAATGCCAAGACCCTACCACCTCAGAAAGCAACAGACCATACTATCGAGCTAAAAGACGGCGAAACGCCGCCGTATGGCCCAATTTACCCTCTCTCTCAGACAGAACTTCGAGAGCTTCGGTCCTACCTAGATGAAAACCTTGACAATGGTCGGATCCGACCCTCGAAAAGTCCAGCAGGGGCCCCTATCCTATTTGTTCCAAAGAAGGATGGCAGTCTACGTCTCTGTGTAGACTATCGGGGATTAAATAAGGTCTCAGTCAAAAACCGGTATCCCCTTCCTCTCATCTCGGAGATCCTCGATCGACTCGCTGGCGCGCAGTTCTTTAGCAAAATTGATATACAAGATGCGTACTATCGGATCAGGATCCGTGAAGGAGAAGAGTGGAAAACAGCCTTTCGCACTCGCTATGGCCATTTCGAGTATACAGTCATGCCGTTTGGTCTTACGAATGCACCAGCCACTTTTCAGAATTATATTCACACGGCGTTAAGAGGGCTTCTCGATGTCGTTTGTGTGGCGTATCTCGATGATATCCTGATCTTCTCGCCGGACCGCGAGGCCCACACAGAGCATATTTGTCAAGTGCTACAGAGGTTACGACAGGCACAGCTATACGCGAAACCTGCAAAATGCACCTTCTACCAAGACCAGGTTGAATTCCTAGGATTCGTGGTGTCTAGGAATGGCATATCAATGGATAGACAGCGCGTCGACGCTATCGCTTCATGGGAAATCCCAAAAAGCTACCATGAAATCCAAGTATTCCTAGGATTCTGCAACTTTTATCGACGATTTATCCAAGGGTATAGCCTGATTGCATTACCTCTAACCTCCCTGCTTCGAGGAAGTAAGAATGGCAAGAAGCCTGGTAATGTCTTGCTCTCCGACGAAGAAACGCAAGCGTTTCACCGGCTTCTCAATGCATTCCAAGAAGCCCCAGTGCTCCAGCATTTTGATCCACAAAAACGGATCCGTATCGAATCTGATGCATCAAACCTTGGGATGGCTGGAATCCTCTCGCAGCCAGACGCTAGCGGGACATGGCACCCCGTAGCGTACTGGTCAAAGAAATTTATTGGCGCGGAGCTCCGTTATGCGACGCCAGATCAAGAGCTTTTCGCTATCGTTTATTCGTTTAAACAATGGAGGCACTACCTAGAGGGTAGCAAGTATCCCGTCGAGGTGCTTTCAGACCATGCTAATCTCCAGACATTTATGAAGCAGCCTAAGCTTAACGGCAGACAGGCAAGGTGGCTTATGTTTTTAACTCCGTTCGAGTTCACTATAAAGCATCGCGCTGGGAAGACCAATCCCGCGGATGGCTTATCAAGGAAACCAAATGCCAGTCG